CCCTATCAGCACTCTAAACTGTCTAAAGTGAGATTTTGGAAATAACGAAATGTTTAAAGGAACAGCTGACTTGCGAAATTTGGACCCATCAATCAAACACAAAAGAGTCAAGACGAGGCGACGTGCATAAGCTCAGTGAATCGTTCAAAACTGTTGTCTTTTCACGAATTACTGAGCTTTATACACGGCGCCTCGTCTTGATTCCTTTGTATGTGTTCACTGGGGCAAAATTCGCGAGTCGACTATTGAAAAGAAATGTTATTAATGTTACTTGAAAAGTTGCTACTTACAAAGTCTGAAGTTTGATATCTTTCTCGACTTTAGTCTCACTGGTGACGTCACGCCATATTTTCCCGYCATCCTCCGTGTATTGAACTGTGAGTCCTGGGGTTGAAGTTCGCACGTTGAGCTTATTATTGTCAAAACTATGCAAAGACAAAATCAAATTACTAAATCGAAATAAGAGAATTACAACATTTTAAATAACAACTATAACACCATCAAAATAAAACAAGAGCAACGACAACAATAAAAAAAACATACAAAGCTCTAAATCCGTGAAATATTATCGAAATTGTTACTAAAAATGGCCCATTCACTTGCAGTCAACAAACCTTGCCCCTGGGAGTGGTACATAGTATTTGACCTTCATTTTATCCAGTCGTCCAAGTTCACGATGTCCCAAAGCGTTAGCGAAATTTTTCCAATCTTCCGTTCTTTTCTTATTTCGTTCGGTTTCGTCCTTCAGGTCTTCCCATGATGCTTTGTGCCAAGCACGTTCCGCAAGAGCCAGAAGTCTTGGATAAATCATGCTGTCCATTTGATCAGCGGTACGCACTGTCTCTGTCCAAAGTGCCCCAGCCATTCCTTCCAAGAAAGTATACTAATGGTGAGTTCTTACACTTTATAATGTATACTACAAGAACATAACTTTATCTAAGTTTAATTAGTTTCTTATTTGCTTAAGAAAGATATGAAACCAGAGCCTGGTAGAAGGGCAGAATGTGTATATGTTTGCTGCCATAACTTTCCTGAGATGTGAACAGTACTAAGAGATATCATTCGCTTAAATATCTGTAAGKTTCACTTTCTACAATAACAACCTGTCTCAATTTTAGGCTAAAGGGTGTGAACGGTAAATACTATAAGCGAATAAATACAACTTTGTGCTGATGAATGAGGACAAAACAAAATCAATCAGGATCATTTGATCTTTAGATCAAACAGATCAACTAATGAGATTCAAGAAATTTATTGATCATTCCGAAACAATAAATCTATTAGAYAGTGTGATTCAATAAGTGCCTATCAATCAGTCCGTATTTATAATTCAATGAATATCTCTCATTATCTCAAATTTATAGCCAAAAAAAGCTGAGTAGAAATTCAGATTTTGCCGTGGCGGTCGACTATTTCATTTTCCGTTTTCTACCCGACCGTTCGGCTAAAATAGAGCAAACTTACCAACAATATTCTGTTTTTGTGTTAAATCAACACACATCCCTGCCTTCGCACACAGCTCTTTTCTTGTAAGAGGGCTACCGCTTAGTGTCTCTTCAACATTAGCAAATAAATCATCCGGAATAAACCCAAATGTCTTTCTAGTGTCAGTGAAGCGAGTAGCCCAGTAGTACCCACGCTCTTCTGGGTCAGGTTCTTGCGGGTGATCGAAATAAAGATGGGTCGCCTGTGTCATCACAACCTTGATTAAAACGAGAACACTGTGTCAATGTAAAGTTCATAATAGAACTGGAAGTTTAACCATAATTTTAGCCTTGCGATCTTTTTAGAGAATTGATCGTTTTCAACCGTTCCCATGAGATTCAAAAGATAAAAGACCGGCGGCCATGTTGGAGGAATGAACAATGGATACTTATGAAAAATCCTTTGTTGAAGTATCTCCAAGATGGCCGCTGTGACGTATAGTGAAAGGCAAGAGTTCCTTGGGATTTGCGTTTACTGGTTAGCTTTGGATACCAAAAACAATAGGACGGCCTATGCCATAAAATGGGCGAGGAATGGTCGTCTATCTTAATGGCGTCATGTTTGTTTGGGCGAACTGCATCATGGTATTGATAAAAATATCAAGATGGCGGATGTCTTATAAGCTACAGTGGATGAAGTTCCTTTGCGAAACTCACGTAATGGAAGTCAAGAATTATTTTGTAAGAGAATTACACGAGATGMTCACACACTRTAGTATKCCAAAAAACGTGTATGTGAAAGAMCTAATGCTTGTTGTTCGAAGACTTCATAAACGCGAACGAWAAAGTGAACGAACAAGAGTGCCCAGTSATGTCAAATCATRACTTTTTTAACAAYAAAATCATTTTCGTAACATTGCATAAAAGATTAGCCAATTCCAAAGGACTATTTCYTTCGGTTGCTGCCCGATTCTGTCTTGCTTTGGTGCAAAACCACAGGCCCTTYACCAAACGTGAATTTTGTTAGTAAACAAAGCTAACTTTAAGACCATCTTTSTAGATGATAAATGATCAAAGATCGTTGACAATCATAAACATAATCGTAATTATAATCATAATTTGATCTTGYTGTTTTTCGACTCACCTTGTATCCAGCATTAGCCAGCTGGTAAGCCCTTTTTCCACCACCCCACTCCCAGATGTTGTTCCATGCATAAGCATAGACATCAGTRYTGGATATAGAYTKCCTGTTATATGGGATACCTTTGCCCATTAAACCGTCTTCCCAGCCACCAAGGGACAAATTATACTTCGYCGTTATATTGGCAACACGCTGTACAAAGTGGTCTTTCAACTTATCCACGATGTCGCTGGCCRAAAAGKTGAGCCCGAGCTTTTGAGACAGGATCTTACAAGCATTAGATTGTTTCCAGGCCCCGTGCGCCACCTCATCGCCTCCAAAGTGATAAATGGACAGCGGTTGCGTGCCGTCGTGCATGCTCACGACCTCTTTTACTATGTGATCTACAAAATGGTACGTGGAGTCGAGGCAYGGGTTAATGGCGTCGTCTTTGAACAGTTGAACCGAAAGGTACTTTGACGGATCACCTGGTTCTGTTAACAGGTACTTGTCCGCTCCGGCCTGACCTAAAAACGTTATTGTTTTTTATTTTAAGCGTTGCTTGTATTGTATGATTTGGTCTTTTTTAACCGGCCCTACTCGTTATTAATTCTTCGTATTGTATGGCAAATGAAAATAAATTTGAATCTAAGAATTGATAATCAGTTAAAAAAACACTACGCAGTTAACTGGCTCCCAGTGTCATGTTCAGTTAACGTCTAAGACATTCGCTGCACTTTCACGCACATAGAAGTTTTTACTTTATAATTGAAAAGCTAGTTAAAGTCTGTATGGGAGCGACCTTATCAATTAAAAAAGAAATGTTTTTTAAAGTCCTTTAAGGTTACTCCCAACTAACAGCGAGTGAAATTTGTATCCTTTTTAAGTCGCTCGCTCCGCATTAAATTTGACCGTAATCCTATTTTTACATATATAATAGTTGAATCATGTTAATCATTTTAAAAACCTTCTGATGGTGAACTCAAAACTTTAATCTGATTGCGCTATAGCCAACACCAACCATTCAAACAGCGGTCTGTTTGCATTTCCGTGCGCGCAAAATCCAATTCCAGAGAAATATCACAGAATTTCTCCCAGTTCTTCACCAAAGATTGTGGTTTTTGAAACGATTTATTGAGATATATTAAGATATTATTAGGGATTATTACTATCGATGTTACCTGTTCTGTTGATCCTCCTTGCACGTGCTTCCATGGCTTTAATGGGTGCATACCCATGACCGGGCATATCGAACTCCGGAATAACCTCAATGTGTCTGTCATTGGCATACTGTAAAATCTGTTTGTATTCGCCCACTGTGTAAAATGCTGGGCTGCTTGGTTCGTCAGGACCCGAGCCGAGGTCAGTCTGGAGGCATTTGTCGCCCGATGGATCGTAACATCGTTTTGAGCCAACCTATAAAATCAATTTTTGGGTGATTTTATCTTTGTTATTGCTTCGAGATTGTAAAAACTATGATATTTAATGAAGTTTTGATGTACATGATTGCGCCAGAATGGCAGTGGAGGGGTTCATTGTGTTACGTCGAGTTTCACTCGAATCTAAATGAGGTCCTTCGTCAATGAATTTTGAGGCATGAGCCTTAGAGACGCTCAAGGTGACCTTGTCCCCTAATTTTTGTCAAGTTAAAGCACTTTTCACTTTTTGTGACCGAGCAAGGTGCCCGGGTTTGGGCCGACGGCCACTGAAACCGGTGTGTGAATTCATCTCGAGCATGGTGGTGCTCAGAAACAATACGTAATAGCGGACTGGGTTCTTCAATGTCCCTCAAATACAGAGAGAAGGACCTCCTCGACTTAGCATAAGCAAAGAAGACACTTAGAGATGTTAAATGGGCGTATACTGAAACTGTTTTTGTAAGTCGATCGAGCCTATATATGACGATAATATGACAAAACCATTGTGATATACAGGATATTACATGGGCGCCCGAAGATACAGATTTTATCTTCGAGTGTTAAAACGATGTCTCACGAGTGAGTWTACTRTATAATTACATATYAAAGSAAATTATGTCGTAAAATACCTTTTTTCTTACTYCCACTATATAGAKAAACCTCGAATKTGTTATTTTCACTAGTGAAAATATSAACTTTACGTAATGGAGAAATATAGGTATTTCATAGATAATTATATGKTAAAAGTGAATATATCATACCGTGGTGAGTTCGTCAAGGCCCGGTATCTGCAATCTCCACCCTTCATCATCAGTTAGATGAAAGTGRAATTTGTTCAATTTGTACATGGCCATGACGTCAAGAAGACGTAAGACCGCTGACTTGGGCATGAAATTGCGGCCGACATCCAAATGCATTCCACGGTAAACGTAGCGCGGAGCGTCTTTRATGGTTACCTTTGGAACAGTATCTGATAAAAAAATAAACAACCAAAATAGTTACAAAATTCCCTTTGGGTGAAATTAGTTGAAGATATGTAAAGACATTATTTTCTAGGAAACTGCATGATGGGAACAGTACTACTGGCACTTTATTCGCTAAATGATGCGTTAAAATGTGGATTCATCAGGATTTTTCGTTGATTACTTGTGGATTGCACATATTTGGAAACGGCGAAAGAAATCCCTTGATTTTAATTTCTTTGAATGAATTTTAACAAAATATGAAGGGAGGTTTCCGAATTCCATCCAAATTTCCCTCGCATCGTACTACATTTCCACTTTTTGCAGTACATGTGAATATAAAATGAGATATTTGTGGGCAGAGCGACAAAGCTTGTGTGTGTAAGGTTGGGGACCACGTAATGTCGAAGGCCTCGTCAATGTGGTTTGATATATACGGAAGGCTATATTTAGTATACTTCGTATGTACTCACTTTTGTCGTCTGTGAGAGCCAATAGAGATTGGACGCCATAGAACACTCCGGCAACGGTTCGTCCAATCAGGTTTATCCTTTCCKCCGAAACGTCAATCTCGAGACTGTAGGCTTCGTCGCTTGWCGATTCGACGCCGTTCGGTTTAACGTCGGGATCTCCGAGTGTAATACGAATGACTTTGCTCGGTTTAGAAGGTGGTGTTGTTACTAGTGACGCCTTGAATTTATCTGAAATTTAAAGTGGATATTTAATTAAGAGCTATGTTAATCGCCAATGTTTAGGGTGGGCGATAGTGTGGATGTTCGATGTGGTTTTTAATAATGAACAACATTAGCAACGAGTTRAAATGGCAATCGCAGTATATATGGTATACCTCATATACCGTATGGGGAGACCTACGTAGCACGCAGTTGATGTAATGTATTCATAAAATGTATTGTATTCCATTGTTTCTCGTTCTATTGTATTATGTGTTTTGTATTATATCTTTATGAATATATTACATCAACTGAGTGCTACGTAGGCTCTCCCTATACCGTATACGTAATGCATTGTAGGATGTATTTGGGACAAAACATGGAGGATCCCACTGATCCCACAATGCATTACAAATCAAGTAGGTGACGTAAAAGCTTCAGCGGTCTTTTATAATAATGAAGTTCATCAACATGCATAGTACTCACTCGACAAAATTTCTGCTTCTTTTTTGAGGGCATTAGCTGCGTAAACTTTCCATTCCTTGTCGATTGTGATCCTACTTTCCCGAGCCAGCCCTATAACACTCAACGGCTGTGGGATCAAAACAGGAAAGCTCTTCTCTTCAGTGCTATCGATCTCGACCTTCTCATAGCGGACACTAGCCGTGTACGGATCATACATATCCCAAGTGAACCGTTTCCACTGTTCTTTAGTAACAAAGGGATCAACAAAACCCAAATTCTCTCCTTTAGTGCTTTCAATTGTTTTAGCTGTCAGTCCTGGTGACGTCACATACCAATTGGGCATGACGTCAGTTCTCGCTACTTCCCAGTGAGCCGCGGTCATTTTGATCTTGAGGCTTCCTCCTGGTGACAAGTCTTTGAATTCTTTTGTTGGGTACAACTTGTGAACACAGCCATTTATGTGTTCGAAATGTATGGTTTGTTTTTTCATGGAGTCTGTCTTTGAAACCAGTCTTATACTGCACAAATATATTGCCCAGTCCCCCTTCTTTACTGGCGCGTCACCCTTGTTGGTGAATGTTATAGAAGACTGGAAGGTGGTATTTGAGGACAGGTTGTCAATCACTTTGTATTGTATGTGAAGTTTCGAAGCAATGTTGTCAATGTCATCTTGGGTTAGCGAGTGAATTGCATCTGCAAAATAAATGAAAACTTGACGATCATAGACAGCTTACATGGGCTTCCTGTAGCTGCGATAATGGTCACCTGTCGCCATTAAGCTATAAGTATTTCATTTTCATGATAGAGTCTCTGTTTGAAGTATAGTTCAAGACAGAATTAAGTCAATATAAGTAATTTACATCTTTTTACATCTTAATTTTTTTACCGAACTGAACTAAGTACTACTACAGCCTTTGGTTTTGTCATTATGATTTATATTCGTGGCTTATAAACAAACCAGCTGGTCACAGTGAAGCCGTATATATGTCATGATCAGGCCACGAGGCCGACTGACGTACAAAACAATACATGTCAAAAATGAAAACAAAGCGCSGATTGATTTAGTTTGACAACCCCATGGAAACTGGGACTGCAGATCATCTGGCAACGCAGGCGCTACCACTTTGATGTACAATATTCACGACGGAAAAGAAAAGTCCACTTGAATTTTTAGACGTGAGCTTCCACAGGATGCCCATGTAATTAACACATTATTGACTGATTTCATTCCGTGAGAGACTTGGTACAAGATCCGTAAACGTTTCTCGTCTTYTTAATTCATTTCCTGTKKTTTCAACACAGGAATCCCATGGACAAGGTTCGTGAATAATAGACCACATGCTTATCTCCAAGTTCCAGTTGAAGAGATTTGATCAYTTGAGAAATGTATTCTTCGAATTCTCGAATAGCGAATGGCTTTATATGCTGCTTATGTCAATCGATCTTATTTATTAGGATTTTCCAATTAAATCTCTGCTGTGTAATTGTTTTAAACAAAGACTAACACCACACAATTTGTAAAGTTATTGTAAAGTAAGACCATGCGTTCATGCTTGATTGCTCCAACAGATTAGTCTCAAAATATCTATATTCTACTTACTTGGGAAGGCTATGCAGATTAACAAGMTTGTARCCAAACTCCCGAAGAGACTTTCCATCRTTAGTTCTTGGAAGCTGTAGCTCTTGCCTGTCTGTWACAAATCTGGAATGCTGGAATTAAAAATACATATTGACTTGTGGACGAAAGGTCAGTAATGGTGACGTCATTGTGTTGAGAACGTAAAATCAGGAAGTGACATCACCAGGACTCGGAAACGTGGAGTGGATTTTGAGTAGCTACCATTGACGTCATAATATTTGTAAGACTATCTTTTGGACTATGCTGTATGGTTTATATGAATTCTGRGTTTGCTTTGATGGTTTGCTTGGTTTCCGCTGTAAATATATGTTTATTTTTATATGTTTATACAGCCTTTTGCAAAAAATTATGAGAATTGTCGAAATATCTAAATATCATAATATCGAGTGAATGATGGGTAATCCCGCGCGATGCTCTTAGTCCCTTGTCTTTGTAGTTTAGTTTTTTTTGGCGACAGACTTATCCGTAGTTCTGAACATTTTCTCGATGTCAACAATGAATTATTCTAGCAAACCCGCGTGTTCCGGACAATATATGGATATGGATATTATGATATTTAGATATTTAGACAATTCTCATAATTTTTGCAAAAGGCTGTAAATGTATAATATATAGTTATATATATAATATCAAAGAGGCAAGATTTTGCTGTTACTCCGAGTTTCGTGCTACGYACTCATCAGACAGTATTTAATCTATAGTTATAAATATATTATACAGGCACTATTTTGGCGTTATTGGCTCTTCAATTAGAGGGTTAATAACGGTGTTTGCGTCATTTCCCATCCTGCACCTCCACTTGAATCTCATTGCCTTTGTTTCAAAGTTTCCCGATATTCTTCGCACTTCGGTTACCGGCCTTGTCTTGATATTATAAGCTTGACTATCTTTAAAATTTGTCATACAGTCAACTCTCGCCTTACGGACACCSCGCTACAACGKACACCTCGATATTGCGGACCGTAAAATACTGAATCACCGGCGCGAAAGATACAAAGAAATGACTGAAAGTGACTCTCGTTATTACGTACTCTCGCCMYAGCGGACACTAAATTACGGTCCGGTGCGTGTCCGTAATAGCGAGAGTTGCCTCAGTGGTTAGATATTAGACTCCATGATGCTGTCATACATCAAAAGCTCAGACCTTCAGATACATTATAACATCAACATTTATTTGATATATCTTTATGTCGGATTATAAAAGATCTTCTAAATTTAATTATTTGTAAGAGTTTAAACTCACATTATTAATCTTTCACGCAATAAAACACCAGGATTTTTAGGAAAACTAGTTTCGTTTTATATTAAAACCTCTTCAATTCCTAAAGATTGTACAACATTATACTGCCAATTGACCCATAGATTGAATTGGACGATAGATTTTGCRAATTTTTAAAGTACAAAAAGGCGACGTTTCGGTGTTTCAAGAGAGTCATTATCAAAATGAAGAAAAAAAGGAAAAAAAAGCAGGGGAATGTTTTTTTTTTCAACTCACTCGCCGATAATTCAATTAGCTCGTTTCAAAATTTTGAAGTGTTTACGATAAATTCTGGAGATTTTTAAAGTAAAACTATAACATTTCAACGTTTCCTGGGCGTCATTATCAAGTGAAGAAAGAACAAGGAGGTGAAAAACAATTGCAAAACAAAAGCAAGAGAATGTTTTTTTTTTCATTTCAATTGATATTTCAATTCACCTCGTTTAAAAGTTTTGAAGTGTTTAAGATGAAGTCTGGCAATTTTTTTAAAYAAAACTATGACGTTCTAACGCCTTTTCCTGTACGTCACTTTTAAGTGAATAAAGAAGAAAAAGTAGGACAAAAAGATAAAATTAAGACTGTTTTTTTATTAATTCGCTTGATAATTCAGTYGATAATTATAAAGCCCGTGAARATTTTGRAGGGTTTTCGATTAATTCTGATCATTTTGTTTAAATCAGAAAACTATGACGTTTTGGAGTTTCCTGAACGTCATTATCAATTGAAATAAGCCAAAAAAATATTTCGTTATTTTTTTTTCTGTTTTATACACTTCAGGAAATGTCGAAATATCATTAAACATTGTCTTATCGCAGAGTCAGTTATCTTCGAATTTATTAAACAGATCTTTATTCGGCATGTGTATGATGGYTATCTTGCATGTTCAGATATCATCGGATATATTGCCCAAGTATGATGTTTTGATCACTTGACYTAAAATATATTTTATAGCTATGTAATCATGAAGTATTGCACTGTCATGGCCATAGATGTTTAGTGAAATTGTATTATGATGTTTGAAGATAAAGAATTTGATAAACCATCCAACACCTTTTTTTGTCACAAAAGTTAATTTGTACCTAACTAAATTAAAAATGTGAATGTCAGGACCGCATACACCTTTTCCATAACGGCTGCAATTGTGTTTTTCCAAAATAAATAGATACACCTACTTGCAGAAACGTTGTCATAGAAAATAGGACATTTGTATTTAGTAAAAAGGAATAAATTAAAAAGACAAARGAAGATCACTGAGKCTGAACGCTTTCTTTTGTCTTGTTTTAATTTATTCCTTTTTACTAAATTCAAATGTTCTATTTTCTATGACAACGTTTCTGCAAGTAGGTGTATGAATATTTTGTCACTGAAACATCAAAGAACTATCAGAAATAAACGTTTTCAGTGGAACGTTTTAGAACTCCGGACACAATAGGAAAAAGGTTTATGGTGAAATGAAAATTAACGTTTCTAGTACTTCGTCGCTTTAAGGTTCTAGCGTATCCATTGTGAAATGAACAGAGCTTTTTAAAACGCGAATTGCTGTTTACAACTGTTTAAGAGAATCAAAGCGGACCGTGTTTTTTTTCAGTAACTCGTTTTGGTCTATATACCAGCAGTTTTAGACCTCTTTCAGTAGTTCAGTGTTTTTGGGCAAACTCTCCAAATCAGATGTTTTACTAAATCAACAAATCTGAGTTTTACATCAGTTGTCAWGCCTTGATGAAAATTTTAATTTTGTGAAAATCAAATAAAAATGATCAAATAATTAACATATTTAGAACAATTTTCATGCAATATCCATTGAAGAAACAAACCTAAATAATATAGTGATATTCTTATCTTTTGAACACGAAATTGATTCGTTGATCTTGTACTATTATACACCTAATTAAAAAAACCGCTGTTTTTTTCTTTCAGCCTAAGTTCAAAACTAATCGTTCTAAAAATAGTTTTATAAACACCAATAGTTTGACCTTCAATTTTTAACTATCCCTGTACATATATAATTTAATATATAGAATTTTTATGATAATTTTGAATTGTTTTTGTAAGCGATAACATAATTCAGCCCTGTGGCTGCTAGTTTTATTTGCATTAAAGTATCTATCTATCTATCTATCTATCTATCTATCTATCTATCTATCTATCTATCTATCTATCTGGTCGTTATGGAAGCTATGACCGATAGGAAACATGGCAAGGCAGATAATGTTTCAGTCCCASATTCTGACTGAACTAAATATTCATTACYTTCTATAAAAATTCGTTCTAATCGTACAATGTGAGGCAAATGGGATTCAAAATTCCGAATACCCAGCACTCCCTTCGGTCTTAGCTTCGATTATGTCACCATTTTGAAACTGACAAAGTCTTTCGACTCGAATGTATATGCACGCACCTGTATCAGATAAAACATTAACTTTCTTCCGACCCCCCAGTGCCACTTAAAGAGATTGCACTTTATGAATTTTGTATTCATATCTTTTTGATATTCTTAACCCATGCAAATTTGTGCAGTACATTTGTGAATTTAAAATATGAGACTCCAGTTAACAGTCGCTCCTTGATCAAATATGTAAGTAAAAAAAAAACACAATCTTTACAGTTTTGAATGCATTTTCAATATTTAAGTTGTCATTGATAAAAAATTGCTCTCAATTAGCGGAAAACGCGAATGATTTTGCTGATTATATAAGCACGGTTGCCATATATAAAAAGCCCATTAGAATTACATAACGATATCTTCTAACGAAAATTATCCTGAACATCCCAAAAAAGGAGAACTTAGTTCAGATTAAAAACGGAAGTGAACAWAAACAAGAAGACAATCAAATTTCACAACTGAATTGCCATTGTCATAGACTTGGCTAGTTTAAACGTGTTAGCCTAAGTTAAAAGAAATTGGATTCACTTGGAAAGATTGCCTACCGTACAGGATATATATATTTAAGCAATTATTGGCCGAAGGCAATTTCACCTTGGYAAGACGCTTCTATAACAAGAGAGTTAGAAAAAGAAACTCTATTGTTATGAAATTCATTGTGTCGTAGAAACAAAAGGCCACAGGAAAATTGAACCTCAGGAGTTTTTCGAAAGGAAATTATCTTTGAGTATCTGCAAGTGCCTCCATTTGGACGTCGAAAAATAAAATACAAATAATTCATTCACTTTGTGGAGGACAAAAAGAATCGTCAGTTACTTCATGGAGACCCTATAGCATAAACGTACAACGCGATCATTGCACAATCAACAGATCGAAAGGTGATTATTTCGTTTTAGTCACGGTTTTGTTTAATTGTTATGTGTAAATAGCAGCTGACTCGGTGTGGTAATTAGAGAATACACTGAAGATGTAGCATATCGCATCAAAAACAATTGTGGGAAAACATAAATATTTTGGTTGCAAAAAAACAAACAAAAAAAAACACACACGCACTCAGAACTTGCTGGAAATCCTTGCTGGACTTGATTGAAGCGTATTTTGGGAGGAAGAAGCAGATTTCCATTCAACGGAACTTGATTTGATAACAAGACTTCCATTTCGACGAAAACTGAGCCATTGAAAGGGTTAAAATGAGCGAAAAAGACTGCGATCCAAACCTTCCTTTCATTCAGTACATTGTGTTCGTTTTCCTGGAAACCCTGTCTGGACTTSTAGCCATTGTTGGAAATGCCATCGTTCTGTATTCCATTGCCAGAATCCCAAGCCTTCGTAGTATATCCAACATGTACATYGCTTCTCTRGCCTTGGCAGACTTCAGCGTAGGACTAATCATGAGTCCGATTTACATAGCTTTAACTACCATCAGAGAATGGGTGAACACTTCTCATCTTCTMTACAAGCTAGAAAACTTTCTTTGGATTCAGACTTTACTTGCCACAACGCTGAGCTTGTGYGCTGTTAGTATTGACAGGTACTTGGCTGTGACTGCAGTATTTAGGTACAAACAGATCRTTACAAAGACCAGGAGTATCGTTATAATAGGAGTAGTATGGTTTATCTCATTTATCTTCGCCTCAGTCAGCTTCATGATATCCTCTTTCGAAGAAACGTCTGCTTTATGGGTGAGCTGTCTCATCTTCACCGTGATCGTTCCAGGATTTGTTATCGGGTACTGCTATTATCGCATTTTCAAGGCTGCAAAAAGACAAATCAAAATGATAAACCATACGTCAAATTCCATCAACGCTGCAGAAACGCTGCGAAATCGYAAAACAGCCGTAACCATTGGCATTGTCATCGGRATATTTTTCATCATGTTTACRCCAAATTTCGTCTTTTCATGGGTTGAACTGACAACTAAAGATCRATGCAAGAAAATGATAATCTATAGATACTGGTTATGGGCCATTTATGTTGCGTTTGTCAATTCCGCGTGCAATCCATGGATTTATGCATTAMGGATGAAYGAATTTAAGATGGCGTTTCGTCGTGTTTTGTTGAGAAAGAACACTGTGAGTCCATCATGAACCATTAATTCTGTTGAACTTGACTTCCTTCATGGTAGACGTGATGTAACCTTAGTTATCAAATTCTTAGAGACGCAAACAAACATCATTGGTTATGCTTAAGGACCGTTTACRCTAATGATTTTTGTGGCGATTTGTGCGGTCATTCTGATCCTAGGTACTATAATGCTGAAGAATTAAGTAATTGCCCGAGTAAGAACTATAGAAGCAAACTGCAAAGGAATGCAAGAAGGTGCTAATTGTGTATTGTATAATCCATCCATCCCATTGGTTCAAACATGAAAATCTGCTATAATTTTACAAGTTAGCGCATTTTCTAATATTTTATTTAATATCTGATTCCGACTTCATGAAAGCTTTCTTTAGCTACAATATTAAGGCAATTCTATGTGGAGAACATAGCAAATTAGAAGCTTCTTTTGGCTATTGTTTTGAGTGCTTATGATTGGATAAGAGGTTTTAATACAAAAGAAACTTTGTTTCAAAATAGAGTTTATCCACATTTTATTTCAAAAATGCGTTACCCATAGGTTGATATATAATCACTGTGAAAACCAAGACATTTGTATGTGGGGAAGTTGCAATGCCGCAGAACAATAGAGAGTTCTACAGTTCTTACGCGCATTGTTACTTAACTTGTAACTTTATTCAATACACTGAGATGAGCCAACTAAACGTCTCCGAAGGGCAAGGCAAAATATGTTCTTGAAATTGAAGCAAAAATCGCCAGTGTCAACAGGCCTTGAGCTTAAGGCTTCTCTTGATAAATTTATATAGAAAAAAGAAAAAAGTCGGATTAAAAACCAGTTTGAAACCAGTAACTTGTAACTTTATTCAATACACTGAGATGAGCCAACTAAACGTCTCCGAAGGGCAAGGCAAAATATGTTCTTGAAATTGAAGCAAAAATCGCCAGTGTCAACAGGCCTTGAGCTTAAGGCTTCTCTTGATAAATTTATATAGAAAAAGAAAACTATAAGAAAAGAATAAAAAAATAATTCTATAGCATAGACAGCGGAGTAGAACTCAAGTCCCTCAAGTTACCTTTTTCCGGGGGGGGGAAGCATCCCCCTCCCTGTAAATGTATGGCACAAAGGTAGAACCATTCGAAAAATAGTGGACAGTAAGCAAAAGAATGTGCTCTTGCTCAAGTAGTAGATTTTTCTGTGAACGAGTAGTTGTTCAGCAGCTTTGTAGCGTTTTACATAATATAAATTCTTACTAAGTCGGATTAAAAGTCATTTGAAACCAGTTTTATTGTTGTCTTCTATAGCGCAAACCTACTCTATGGTTTTACTTCTAAATGGGCAAAAGAATCGTGATTGTGTTGAGTCTATATGTATTATACTTGCTCCAAGTCTTTCTCGCTGTTTTCTCTCGAGGAAAGCGATCGACATTTCCCGAATAAACGGTACGAAGGGTTGCCGAAACCTAACGTGTGATAGGGGTTAAAGTGGGAATAAACGGAAACTAGGACGATGTACACTATTTTTCAAGCATATGTACAARTGTATRAATAAAYTAACCGATTATCAAAGTCTTACCTTGAGTTCCGTAAGAATTTATACATTCCATAACGTCAGCGAACTAAATGTAGTCCGGCTGAACTTGTAAATATTCATGAGTTGAAGAGTTTTACCAGTCTCTCGCGTTTCTCACGCCGTCAGCTTCGGCAACTCTTCGGATTAAAGTTCGTTAGGGATATTCCGTCGTTGGCAGAAAGGTAACCGGGAACGAGACTTGGTGAACGTGTAAGGTTAGTGTAAAAAGCCAATTAGAATAAAAAAAGGAAGATTGAAAAAGGAAAAAAGACAACCCACAAGGAGAAGGACTTAATCAAGTAGATTCCCATCAAGATTTCTAGAAATCTCCAGAAAACTTTAGTTATTGAATAGCGTTTATTGTGTTCATATTCTATGGACAGCGGATCTTTTATGTGACTTTGCATTACGTTTCTATGTTTGTGTGAGGCCAGCTTGTCAGGTGTTTCGTTTCTKCGGCTGTATATTGAATAATGGCATTCAAGATTTCGAACCAATAAACAATTAGCGCGCAAACGTCATTGGATTTACCAATTAAATGAAATTGATAATTTCTGGATATGAACATATGGAGAGGTAGTGAGTCATTCAACGTGACTTTATATACAAGAAAATAACAAAGACTTTCCTGATTGTGAAGGCTTTGGTGACATGTATAAACAACTTGACAACAAGAAATGAGGCGATAGTTTAAACAAGGAAGACTTACAGAAGAAATGAAAGATTTTTAATATCACTTTTGAAGCAACACCAAATTGAAAAAAAGAAACGCATCTGCTTCTTCTTAAGACCTCATTGACATTGAACGAAAGAACGTATCGTCAAAAGAAGACAACTGAATCATTTTTATGTCAAAAAATGGAGAACCTGTCCCCAAACGTCACAGATGACTTCAACTGTAAAACAAATCGATACAGCGAARAAATTGTTGCAGAAATTGTTGTGAGATCTGGTTTGGTTATTCTGGGGACAGCTCTCAATGTCATCGTTTGTTTAACATTTTGGTTCAACCCACGATTTATCTCAAACTCGACTCTTTTCTTGTGGAATCTCAGTGCAGCCGATCTGGTAACAAGTGTAATATCAATACCAGTGTCATTGTGGGTCTCGTTTCTGCAGTTGAATGACGCAACGAACGCGGGAAGGTCGGATGTTGGACATTTTAAAATTCCTTGGAGTACTGCTGTCATCGTTGCAGCCTTTGCTGCGTCTATCTTCAACCTCGTTGTGATGAGTATTGACCGTTGTCTCATGATTCGATTACCAATTGCATATAGAGGATTCATCAGCGTCAAAAAGGTCAAAATAGCTATTTTAGGGATATGGTTATCAGCATTGGTCAATTTTGTGCTAGTCACTACAAGATCAATCCCTAATGATGTATTTTCAAAGGCAGTGTTCGTTAGTCTTGTAATATGTTATTTGATTATCTTTTTGTGTTATATGATTTTATACCGCGGTATTAAGAGGCAGGGAAGCGCTACAGCCAGCGACGAAACTAGTAGCAACACACACGGAAGGCAGCAGGTGATAGAGAAGGAAYTGGCCAAGACGATAGCAATTATCATCGTTGTCTTCACAGCTTCCTGGTCACCACTAGGCTACGCAATGCTTACCCACTCTGACTTTGAAGAATATGCGAATTGYAATGCATTCCCTCATTGGGCAGCTACCATTGGCATGGCAACCGCTGTGGTACATCCRTTGATATACGTTGGTAGAAAGCGCGAGTATTTGGAAGCAGCGTGTGCGGTGCTGAGAATCCAGCTGTAGAGGTCCATTGCAAATCAAAGTGCRGTGGCTTTTTTCGGGAGGTTGATTATTTAAAAYTGCATTATTGAACTGAATGGAAGACAATCAAAAGGTGTAAAACGAAGAGATCTGAACCGTTATGCAATAATGCCGAAGTAAACTGGGAAACAGCTCGCAATGGGCTCTATCAGGGCTCGTGCTACTCCAGGAAACCCATGAAAATCTCTCGCTTTCCAGGAAAGTAGAAAAGCACCTTGAAAACAGGAAAAACATTAAAACTCCTGGAATATTGACTATTGTGTATATATCAAGATAATATGAATTTGTAGACAACATTGAGAATGTCCAGATAGCACGATTAGAGAACGAATTCGGCCATTGTATCTTACACATGTAAAACTGAGCGACCTAGTGCCTTTTCAGGTGTCTAAAAGGTTTATGTTTCAACGTAATTTAATCTGATAAAAATRATCTGATAAAATTATATTACATATTAAGACCTATTAATTCTGAAAAGTAACAACAGCTTAGCTATAAAATTTTCTTTTATCGTTTCATTATGTCCAGCTACAGACACATACTGCAATTGTTCATTTTTGCTGGTATGTTTTAGAATCGTTGTTGCCAAGTCCATCTTTGAAAGACACCAGTATCTTTTAATTTTTTTTTTTTGTTATTTCGGTAGTCATTCCCGGATCAGGCAAACGTTTATCATTTAAGTCAATTAAATTTCATTTTAATCTATACTGAATGAGATTTTTGGTTAATTACATTATGTATATATGATAGTTACAAAGGTAAATGAATAAAAAGAATTGAGAAGATTTGTTTGTGAATCTCGACCAAATGATTTTAAAAAGCTTTTGCTTTGGCCGACATACTAACTAGTCACATCATAGCACTGGAAAAAATCGCGTGCTTTAAAGTTTGTAAATTTGATGTAAATATGATGTAAGTGTCCAAAATTCTGTAAATGATTTCCATTGAATTTACAGAATTTTGGACACTTACATCATATTTACATCAAATTTACAACCTTTAAAGCGCGCGATTTTTTCAAGTGTAGGCATCAGTCAAACGCCGAACATAACAAAACGAAATATCGAGGGCTCTCAATGGAGACCAGTCTTTGATTCGATTGGCTCAAAAATTCCCWTGCACAATCAGCATGGATATGCTGATCGTTCGACCCAGGTTCTTAGTCATTCCTGTAGAGTGCAAGTCACATAAGCATGAAACAATTCTTAACTATGTAGTGCTAAATAAGATTTAGTTATCAACTAACTAAGAATTGAGAACAATGCTACAAAGGAATTTAAATAATTGGCATTGTGTTTATGCTTTGTTGAATTCTTAGTTAGTTGATAACTAAATCTTATTTAGCACTACATATTAAGAATTGTTTCATGCATATGTGACGTGTGGCGTGACATGTTCACAATGATACTGTCAAGCTATCTATATCAAGCCCTTAAAGATACACTTCTCAAAGAAAGGCTTCGTGATGGCCTAACAGCGTTCTTTCTAAACAAAACACGTCGAAATGCCATCTTAAATTCATTCATCCGTAATGCRTATATCCACGGATTCAATGCAGAATTTGCAAACACGACACAAATGGCCCATAACCAGTATCTATAGATTAACATTTTTCTGCATSGATCTTTRGTCGCCAACTCAACCCACGAAAAGACGAAATTTGGTGTAAACATCACCAAAAATATCCCGATGACRATGCCAATGGTTACGGCTGTTTTGCGGTTTCGCAGCGTTTCYGCAGCGTTGATGCACTTTGACGTATGGCTTATCATTTTGATTTGCCTGTTTGCAGCCTTGAAAATGTGATAGTAACAGTATCCGATAACAAATCCTGGAAGGATCACGGTGAAGATGAGACAGCTCACCCATAGTATGGATGCTTCCTCTGMAGATGATATCACAAGGCTTGCTGAAGCGAAACTAAATGAGATAAACCATACTACTCCAATTATAACGATACTCCTGGTCTTGGTWACGATCTGTTGGTACCGAAATACCGCAGTCACAGCCAAGTACCTGTCAATACTAACAGCACACAAGCTCAGCGTTGTGGCAATTAAAGTCTGAATCCAAAGAAAGTTTTCTAGCTTGTAKAGAAGATGAGAAGAGTTKACCCATTCTCYGATGGTWGTTAAAGCTATGTAAATCGGGCTCATGAATAGCCCTACGCTGAAGTCTGCCAAGGCYAGAGAAGCAATGTACATGTTGGATATACTACGAAGGCTTGGGGTTTTAGCAATGGAATACAGAACGATSGCATTTCCAACAATGGCTAGAGGTCCAGACAGGGTTTCCAGGAAAACGAACACAATGTACTGAATGAAAGGAAGGTTTGGATCGCAGTCKTTTTCGCTCATTTTAACCCTTTCAATGCCTTTTTCGTCGAAATGGAAGTCTTGTTTGCAAGATCCGTTGAATAGAAATCTGCTTTTTCCTCCCAAAATACGCTTCAATCAAAATCAAGTCCAGCAAGGATTTCCAGGAAGYTCTGATTGTTTTTTTTTTCTACCAAATATTTGTTTACCCACAAATGTTATTGATGTGACGTACTATATCTCCAGATTCTTTTCCAATTTCAACACCAAGTCATCTGCTATTTATACATAACAATCATACAAAACCGTGACTAAAACGAAATTGATCACCTTTCGAGCTGTTGGTTGTGAAATGATCGCGTTGTATGTTTATGCTAAAGGGYCGCCKTGACTTATGAAGTAACTGACGATTCTTTTTGAAGTCCTCCGCAAAGCTAATCAATTTTTTTATCTTTGTTGCTGTCGAAATGGAGGCACTTGCAGATGCTCAAAGATTGTTTCCTTTTAAAAAACTCCGGAGGTTCTATTTTCCTGTGGCCTTTTGTCTCTRCGACAACTCAATTTCATAACAATGTTTCTTGTTCTAACTCTCTTGTTACCAAAGTGAAATTGCCTTCGGCCAATAATTGCTTACAAAACTGTCAGTATTCGTTATAGGTCCGTTAAGGCAGGCAATCTTTCCAAGTGAATCCAATTTTTTTTGCTTCAACTGCCACTTTAGTCTCTTTAAAAATTGATCCAGAGTTTCTTCTGAAATGATGGAGGGAAGATTTTAAACTTCGTGTTCAGCACAATGCGAAGTTCCAATTGGAGCCAATCGGAAAACTGGTTGTTTCAATTTGCATCTGTTTTGTCACTCAGCACAAAGATAAAAATTAAAGCAATCCTACTGGGGCTCCAACAATGAATTGGTGACAAATTAAAAGATAAAGTGACTTTATATACAAACGACACGAAAATKCGGATGAAACCAAATAATCCTCCAAATTTAACAATCTAATCTTGCGATAAGCGAKGTGAATGTCCAATACTCTTAAGAGTTTGTGCTCTTATTGAATTCATCTTTAAATATTCATGACTTCAGTTGTTTAAAGTTCTTGTTGTGAATATCATCCGGCTGAACCACTTCAATAGAAATGGGTTATTTTCCGCTTGTTCTTGCTGTTTGTTCAAAKAGCTTCCTTTYCTTTTGTTTGAGGACACTTTAAGTGTTTTTAAATTGAACTTGCATGAAATTATTGCATATATCTCGAMAATTTAGTCTATTACCAGTTGGAGGCCAGTAGTTTTTGTTGGAAATACTTAGGCTTGTTTTTAAGTATAGTTAGGTTATCTTAATTTTTTTCGAACAGTTTGACAGGTGGAGATACAGATGGTAAGGTGAAAAACTCTTCTCTTAGTTCTAAAATAATSTTCAATATTTTGTATGTTGTTGCCGCGGCGACATAATGTTTATCCAAAATTGAAACGGTGAAATTCTCACTTTCCTATTTTCTATCTTATATCAGTGTGTGATGTTTTGTTGCTTTTAAAGTAGGACTATGTAAAGCAAATTAAGTTACAAATTCCCTCAATTTCAGTCGATATTTGAAGAATAGCTGTGAATGTAGCTTTAGCTTGTTGGGAAACTTTCAGCTTCTGGTTATATAAAAGAACCTTCGCGTATAATGAAGGCAATTCCTACAGAGTCAGCCTCTTTCAAGTCCTCCGTTCTCTTTGGAAATGTTTATGTGCGGCTTGAGTATGAAAGAAATACTTATTTTATGGACTTTTATGGAAATTTCTCTTTGATTCACAAAGATATTTTATRAATATACTGTCTTTGAAAAAAAGCAGTTCCTACTTCTACAGCAGTGAAAARCAACAATGTTGATTATCCTTGGTGATGTTTAGTGCCAAAGAAGTAACACCTTTGTGAAATGTTCTTGCCAGGTAGGATGATACAGCTGAAGCCTTCCTCACGGCGATTTTCTTCGGTTGTTAGTGTTTTCTTATTTACAATGGTTTCGACTCCAGAGCGTGCCACGATCCCACACCAAGCCTTAAGATGACCTCTTCGTCGTTGAAAGCTTGAGATAGAGTTGATATTCGCTATTCTTACCTATATTCATGTTTTGGGCTTCGTGCAGCTTGTTAGTCAAAATCCTATAGCGAGGTTATTTTCGGATTTCTGTGCTGTTGAAAACAATTTCAGATATATTTCTGTTATTATCAGATGWATTGTCAACAGTCAGGCACCAAAATGATCTGTAACATCTACAAAAAAATTCGCGCATTTTTATGTACATAACGGAATCCTGGCAAGTTCGTAGTCCACATTCGTGCAATMCTAAGAACACTATATGAATTGCTTTCCATTTTTACGAGATTCAGAACACACACCTTCTATTCCATTCTTTATAGATCTGTAAGATTTTAAAAAACGCTTGCACTTTACCGATTCTTAAGGATTAAAATCCAGGTAGTCGATTGATTAAAAGTTGGCTTATTTTCAAGGATTATATCTTAGGTGTTATCTTTAAATAATTAATATGSCAATGTCATTGTA